GATGACAGAGCAGGTGAATGGGGAGAAGTGGGAGCTTTCGAGTTACCATATGTTGATGGCTGAGGTTAAGGTGATTGTTACTCTTTCCTTTTTTGTAAAGTAGGAAAGCAATGAGATGTAGAACTATGCTGCCTGGCGCAATGGGACTCTTTTGAAAACTGTGTTATTTAAAAATAGGTGTTAACTTAATGCTAGTGTTATTTTAAGAACATGCTAATTAAATCCGTGTAAAGTGAGAGGTGACTATACTGCTCCGAGCCCTCATGTCTGTGACTCATCTGTGAGGGTGTGTAAATTCATAAAATTAGAGAGATAATTCAAATTTTAAGTAAAAACAGGGAGTGAAGCTGTTCCATACATTCCCCGCTGCTGGGCGAAGTTTTGCTGGTGGTGGACAATAAGATATCATTTGGGTCGTATGTGCTTTATAATATTTGTATGTCTTATCTCAAGCATAATGGCTTTTATTGCACTTTTCAATTGAAACGTTAATCATGACCCCACTTATTCGCAATTTATATTTTAACAGGCATATTCTATACTTAGTTCAGTATCTGTATTCGCAAAGCATACCTTGCTTATCCGCAAAGCGAATTAGAAAATTGAAAGAAATAATTTCAATATGCTACAGTAAATTTGTTTCAAACTGCACAAGCTAACTAGCTGCTGCACTCGTACTGTATTCCTCTGTCAGAAGTAGTGCTTGGCAGAGATGCCAGGTACGATGCTGTTACCAGCTATGGACTTCTGACCCCAAGACTCGGCTGATTATGCTGTAAATTTTGTTCCTCTTTAATGGTCGTTAATTATGCCTGCATCTCTCTTCATTTCCAATTTAATGGAATATTTCTGCTGGTTACTGTCATTTAATTTGGTTTATTTTAGGCATGATAAAGGATTAATGTGTGGCTGTGCATTATTGCATATATAATGTGCTTGGTGGGATTTTTTGGGTGGAGGCCATATGTGTTTTCATAATGGAGTTTTGTTTTCTATGTATGATGATATTTAACTTTTCAGGAGCAAAATAAGGAACATGCTGGAGGTGTGTGTCATCTCTGGTGCTTGGTGGCTCAAGCTATGTGAGCAGGCTGCATAGTTAATTGTTTTTGCTGTGTATTCATACACCAGGCCATGCGAAAGAGTTCTCTCTGTCTGCTTTGATCTGTTGCGTTGTGTGGTAGTGTCGATACTGTGTCAAAATTTTTTTCGTATTGCCTCCTACTCATTCACACATTTTATACACACAATCACAAAGTTTAGTAATTATTAACAACATTTGTGTCGGTGTGTCTTTACAGTAAGTGAATTTTTTACACCCATGGTGAATCAATATTCTATGCTTATTTTAACCCATAACTGGTCATTAACGTTCAATTACGTGATCACCGATATTATTATCTCTGGTCAGTCACGTATTAGAACGTTTTCCAAATCTGCTTTTCCCGCACCTTTGAAATTGAGTCTAGCTACCATAATCTGTTTGTGTAAATGTTCCCCCCCCCTCCCATCTCTCCCCAGGGGGCCCCACCCTCCCATCTCTCCTCACAGTCAAGGCCCTGGGACTACACAGTAGTCTCTCGATAGCCATGGCATGTGAACGTAACCGGTCACTCAATCAGGTTGAGACATACTCTAAATTATTTGGTAGGGGTGAAGATGAGTATAGATTGACAGAGGCATGCATTGATAGGGATATTGAACGTGATGATAATGATAGTGACTAAGACTATGTGTTTGAACAAGAGGAAAACAACACTGATAAACAGCAAGTAGAGGAGAGAGGGTTGGTGTCCTCTTCATCTCCAGGAACGTCCAGTACTCCCTCCATTTCACCTACCCCTACCAGTCCGTCCCACTGTATAGTTACATCCACCCACACCCCTTCCTCCCTCCTACACTAGCTCCCTCCCTCCCTCCCATACTGCTACCTCCATCCCACCCTGTTCCCTCTCTCACATGCCTTCCACCTACATTGCTCCCTCCCTCCCTACCTCCCTCCCTCCCTACCTACCTACCTCCCTCCCTCCCTCCTACAGTGTGTGTGTGTGTGATCATTATGTATATATGTGGCTGCAAGACAAACCAGTAGTACTGTGACAGCACTGGAAGCGAGTAGAGGTTTGGGAATACTACACCAGCCCTGGATTTAAATGTCTCGCAGCACCTTTAAACGAGGCAGATTTTCAAGTGTCATTTTGGGGTGTTTGGGCCATAAAAGAAAAATATGATTATCCCCGACCAGGGGGTTGGGAGGGATACCATGGATGTATAATAATGTGACCTTTTTGCAGGCTAAAGATGCTTGGCTAATAAAATGTGTTTCTGCAGTGTTGTTTTGTATTGTATTATGGTATTATACTTATTTTAATACATTACACCTCCACCAATTATATAATTATATTAATTCTTATGGGAGAAATTATCCTGATATTCGCAAAGAATTTTAGGGACACATCATTTGCAATGACCGGGGTATTAACATATTATTGATGCCTATGTAAAATATGTTGAAATTTCTGTGTCATAATGATCAAGGGAATAATTTTAATTATGCCCTTTGTCCTTGAAAACGTCAATAACATGCCATCTTTGCCTGGAGAGAGAGAGATAGGTTCAGGGTAACAACACCAATGAAAAAGAAAGTGTAATTTTCTCCCTCTCTCTCTCTCTCAATATTTTTGGTCTATTACAATCAGAACAAAATTTTAGAGGGAATGTGTATAACATCTTCATGTAAGGGACATTATAATCAATACTCGGTGGTAGATGTAGCGCATGATCTCATCACAGCTGGTGCTAAATTATTTGTTTAGTTTCGATTCTGATTTGTTTGGAAGGAGAGACAGGCTTTTTGAGGTGGTTGTAAGTACATCCACACTAAGTTAAACACTCAGTATTTCCTCTTAAGAATAATAAAAAAAACTATTAATATACAGTAAAAGTCCAAAAATCCGGATGCCAGAAATCCGGACCACCCGAGAATCCGGACTTTTCGAAAACTCAAACTTTTTTTTTTTTTTTTTTTTAGCTGGCTTTTGTGTGTATGTGCGCATGCGTGAGCGCCACAGCTGCACAGCGACAACAAGCGATCGCCACTTTAAAACGAGCAATCAAACTGTGACAACGTATGTAATTTTGAGTCCTACTCTTTCCATTTACAGAGCCCATAATAATGGCTCCTGAAGTAGATAAACTCCGTTGTGTGAAGAGAAAGAAGAACACGTTGAAATTGGGTGACAAACTTTAAATAATTAAAATAGAACGTGGTGTGAGCAATACTGTTCTAATGGAAACATACAACATTGTAAAGTCTACAATTTATGATATAAAAAAGGCAAAGAATAAAATTCTAGAATTCACAGCTTTTTCTTTAAAACTGCTCATTTTGATAAATGAAGCATGCTATATTTGCTAATGAATAAACTATCAAAATGTATCTGTTCATCTCTTCTTTATTCCTCCTTAAATTTGAATTTTAAAAGTACTGCCTGAGAATCCGGAAAATCCGAAAATCTGGACTGACCCAATCCCCAAGCAGTCCGGATTTTTGGACTTCTACTGTATTTAGATAATCTTTAACAACATATTGTATTGGATGCTTCTTATTATTAACAATAATACCATATATGTTTAACCATGAGAGACTTAAGCTTGTACTACAAATACATATAGTACACTATATATACGGTATATATTTAATATGACAGGTAGGTTAATTAAGCCACGTAAAAAAATCTAAAAAAAAAAATTCCATTGATGTTTTTGTTTTTAATTGCACCAGTGAAGTCATGATTAATTTATTCTGCTTTATTAGTTATTGAAGAAACTGTAGTATATCAGAAAAATTTTCTTTTGTAGAAAAATTGCTGAGGTAGAACGCATCGCCCGTGAGAAAAAGGAGTTAGAATACCTTAAATTGCTTGAAGCACAGCGCATTGCTGAGTTACAACAAGCTAAATTGACAAGCTCAGCAGTTAAAAAGGTAAAAACTAAAGTACTTATTTTCCTTTTGCTGCATTATTTAACAATTGGTAATTAATGCAGAACTTCCTTTAGATAACATCATCTTTTGCTCAGTTCTGTTTAATGTGTTATTATGCCTGTATTCCATCAGTATTCCTCTAATCCTTTTCTCAAATTTATTATTTCTTAGCTCCTTAGTAACATCTTCATGTCCACTTTCCACATGAACCTGTAGCTTCAGTGCTCAGGTTAGTTTGTCAGCATTCTCTATTGTATTTTGTTGATTATTATGTTGTAATGCTTTTATTCATCTTATGATTATATATCTCACACTGTAATTTTCCTACAGATTGCACTAGCTGATAACAAGGAAACTGGACTAAATCATACATTCACTTTAAGTGATAACAAGGAAAATGGTCTTAATACCACATTTTCCAAAACTACTGGACCGTCTCAGTCAAGTTCTACTGGGAAAAACAAAGATAGTTATGACATTACACCAAACTCCAAGAAATATAAGAAAAATATTAATAATTATGATATAAATGATATTGAGAGTGATGACTCAACTGATGAGGACAGTGCTCCTAAGAGGAAAATTCCTCCCTGGGCTATGAGTAAGTTTAAAATTTGGATATTAATTTTTTCCTATTGTTTGGGATTTTATGAATAGAATATGTAATGGTTACATACTTATAGATTGTTGTATCAGACACATTGCAGTAGTTATATTGTACAACCTCCCTCGGTATTTTTGTTCCATAGTAAGGCAGGTTGAAAGTGCAAACAATGGCAATTAAAGTTTGCATGATGTAGACTCAAGTTCTAGATTAATTAATTTATTTACATTTTCATCTTGGATTATCTGCTATTGTTTGATGTCTTTCCAGCAACATAAGTGAAACTAAGTTTCTAATGCACTGATAATTGTGGTAATTAGCACTGTCTTGCCTTTCCACTGAGGTTGAGTTGGCAGCAGCATAAACATATCATACTGTTAGTCTCCTTCAACATGATGAAGTACACTGACTCATTCACACAAAGAATATTGCCCATGCTGTATGGCAAAACTTGAGGGATTGCCTTTAATCCTGCCATAATGATAAATTAGCGAGCACAATTTTTCTAAGCTGAAACCCCGCCGTGAAATAGTTAAGCAAATATTTGGGGAAAACTTTTAAAAGGATAAAGTTTTATGATGTAGATGGCTGGGTAGTACCAGTGTAATGTTATATTGATGGAGAACAACTAAAAGGAAAAAAAATTAATATACATATATATATATATATATATATATATATATATATATATATATATATATATATATATATATATATATATATATATATATATATATATATATATATATATATATATATATATATATAATTTTAGAGTAGGGAAAATAAGGAAAACGATATAAGTTGTCATGCAAGTAATGATTCTTCTCTAATCTTTCTCTTTTAATGGGAACTAATTAACATCTAAAGAATAGACAAGTGGAGTTGAGTAAATAGGATATTAATAACTTAATGCAATACTGTACTGTATTGTCATATCAAAATATTTAATTTGGTAAAAATATAGATGTGACAACTTGTGATACTGTCAATATACAGTGTACCAATTCTGTATACAGTATTATTAAAAGGAAATACTAACATGTTATTTATTGTTTAATCCTTTACAGGATCTCAGCTCACAGCTGCTATGATCAACCAAGTATACTCCGGACCTGTGGTTGAGGAGATCTTCCCTCCGACTATTCTTCTCACCACACCTGATCTCACCCAAATCTTTCCTAAGCGGAAAAAATTTAACAAACGCACCTCTAGTGCGATATGGACTACACCACTTTCTAAATATTTTGAATAATGTTAGCTATATACAGTACTGTGTATATATTTTATCATGCTTCATGGTATAAACTAATGATTTTCAGTTAAGTGTTATTAATGCATTGGAATTGTTTTCCAAATTTTTAGAGTACATAACTTAGCATTTCTTAATATATAGGTATTTTCCAATTTACGATGGGGGTTGTGTTCCTGAAAACCGTAACATAAACTATGAGCCCTTAAACATGGGTTTCACTGGGGTACATTCCTGGCCAGTCCGATATAGACATGTACAGTGAGTTCTGCTATAACGCGTGTTTTGATAACGCGAATTTGATCGAACGCGATTTATGAATTCGGAACAATATTCGTATAACGCGAACTCGTTTGCTCTAACGCGATTCCACTCGAACGGTTGTTGCGACTTCAGTTCACGTTCGACATCACATGTTCAATTGAGTTATGTGTTTTGTTTGTGAACAATTGCAGAAATAATGTATGTAATATTTATGTATACAGTATACCTATATATTATAAGTAAATTGTAAAATTTTACATAAAAGAGAAAATCAAATTACATAGCGTTTTACACCCGCGCTCTCTTTACATCATACACAGTGTTTACAGTTTACGTTCGACATCACATATTCAATTGATTTATGTGTTTTGTTTGTGAAGAATTGCAGAAATAATTTATGTAATATTTATGTATACAGTAAACCACTCACAAGGTCCTACAGTACCACTAATTATTTTATACTGAAACTTACGTTTGGGAAGCTGGATTAAAATGAAGATTACCGGTATATTAAAATAATAAAAATGTATTATAAACCAGTCTAACATACCGTAATAAACACCTGCATCACTTGTATCAATTGTATCACTATCCACCACAGAGGCTTGCAGGGCCTCTTTGTCAAACCCCTCAAAGGCCATATAAGTCCATATCCTCACTATAATTATCACTATCACTGACTTGGGCCGGCTGTGGTGGGTGGCGGGTGAAGAACTCGGTAATGTTTTGATGACTGGACGACCTTGTGCGCATCGTGCCCGCGCCGCTTCCCGCGTATATGATGAAAAATTCCGCGTTAAGTGAAAGTTCAGCTCTGGCGATGCACCGCGTATATGATAAAACGCGTTAAGTGAAACCGCGTTAGGCGGGGTAATACTGTATATATATATATATATATATATATATATATATATATATATATATATATATATATATATATATATATATATATATATATATATATATATATATATATATATATATATATATATATATATACAGTTAACCCTCACTTTACGCGGTCCCGCATTCCGCGTTTCCACGTTTACGCGGTGCCCTGCCGGAACCCAAGATGCTCACATTCCGCGGTGCGTGTACCCCTTTACGCGGAGAGCGGCTGGCGAGCCGCGCCATTTTTGGATCCAAACCTCCCGCCATCCGCCATGTTGTGTAAGCTGCGCGAACATGGTGCGCACAAGGTCGCCCAGTCATCAAAACATTACCAGTTCTTCACCCGCCACCCACCACAGCCGGCCCAAGTCAGTGATAGTGATAATTATGGTGAGAATATGGACTCATATGGACTTTGGGGAGTTTCACAAAGAGGCCCTGCAAGCCTCTGTGGTGGATAGTGATACAATTGATACAAGTGACACAGGTGAGGGCCAATAATCTGCCCTCTGCCTCGGAACCAACCGCCCATCCCCGTGTGCCCAGCCATTTTTTCTACTAATGCAAGTGTTAAATAACCTAATATTATTGATATTTCTCTTAATTATTAATTGTGTGTGCATACCATCATAAAGTTAAGATAATATTTTTACTTCAACATAGTTGTGTGTCGTCAAAAAGTGGAGTTTGGGGATCGGCCTGGACTCCATTTCAATTAATCCCATATGTTATGTTATTCACTTTATGCGTTTCTCACTTTCCGCGGTACCCTCCGGGTTACATTAACCGCGTAAAGTGAGGGTTAACTGTATATATACACCTAGACCCGACTTACGACGGGGTTAGGGACACAAATCCAGGTCGTAAGTCCGACATGGTCGTAAGTCCGACATAGATAAAAAATTTTTTTTTTTTTTTTTTTTTTAAATAAATAAATAATCTACAGTATTACCCCGCCTAACGCGGTTTCACTTAACGCGTTTTATCATATACGCGGTGCCTCGCCAGAGCTGAACTTTCACTTAACACGGATTTTTTCCACATATACGCGGTGAGTGTCCGGCTCGAGATGCTATTTTTAGATTTGCCCCACCCTGCCTGACTGCCTGTTTTAGCTCATAAAATTCATACAAATTACCCGGTCTGAATATAATTTACATTGCTGGAATTCTTATAATTTGATGATCATTTTGAATATAAACATCATATTTTTGCATTAGACATACAAATTTTAGATAAAAATTTTTCTCAAATTAACTATGTTATCTTTTGTGCAAAATATATGACATTTATATTCAAAATATTCCTGTTAAAAACCCTGGAAGGGAGGATTGGTGGGGGGTGGGGGGGAGGGTTGGGACTGACCGCGCGGTTGGAAGAGGGGGGGAGGCAAGGTTGAGTCCATTATTTGAATGGACATTAACTTGGCGACTGTATTTCTCTATTTCTCTTAAGTATTAATTGTGTGCATGTACCATCATAAAATTAAGATGTTATTTTTACTACAACATAGGTATGTGCCTTCAAAAAGTGGAGTTTGGGGGTCGGGCCGGTTTCTATTGGAATTAATCCCATATGTTCTGTTGTTCACTTAACGCGGATTTCACTTAACGCGGGACCCTCTGGGTTCAATTGACCGCGTTAAGTGGGGTACAACTGTACAATGAAATACAGTACAGTAAAAGTAATGAATAATGAGGAATGGATACAGTACAGTGAAAGTAATAAATAATAAGGAATGAGCACTTACCTTTAATGTAGTCAGCTGAATGCACATGGGGCCCCCATAATTTTCTAATTATACATGGAGACTACATTAACTGGAAACATTTCGGTATAGAAAATGTGTGTGTCATTTGAAGAAAATTTTTTTATTTTTATTTATTTTTTTTTTTTTTTAATAAAAAATCTGCGGCGGTCATAAGTCCCGACGGTCGTAAGTCCACTTAGTCGTAAGTCGGGGTCTAGGTGTATATGTAATATTCAGAAATTTCAGAGTAATTTCAAATGCCCCGCCATTAGCGATACTGAGCGTTCAAGGTCGTTTGAGGGAAGAGAGCGCTCCCCACACATAGTGGGAGTTTGTGGAACTAGGCCTATATGATATTAAATGTAATTTGCCGAATTAATAATGATGCGATTCATGAAGTTAAGGGACTATTATTGAATTTGAAATTATTATAGATCGTTTATCAGTCTGAATAATGTTACGGGTGTCCCAAGGAGTTATTAGTTAGGCGGAAAATATGTCACGTAGGCCTAAGCTAACGCCTTGAGAGGACACGAGGCGGGCTCTCTCTCTCTGTCACGGGGAGCATTCAGACAAACAAGACGTCCCTGCGCGTCCGTCACAGAAATAGCCACGTGGCCTAGTCACCTGTGTTGCACTATTGCAGTATAACAAGTAAGTCTCATTCGATCTCAGACAGGGTTAGATAGGACAGTGGTAAAGTAAACTAGAGCTAACAGTGAGTTCATTTCAGGGTTTCCGCCAGAACCCACTTGACCGGAGTTTGACTGCGAGAGATTGACTGCCGTTTGAGACTGCCGTTGATGATTGAGGGTGGCGATTGTCGCCATTGGACCGATCAGTGTAGGCCTGTCACTGTTTAGCGGGGTATCAAAGGATCTCTTGAGGGAATCTAGCCGTCTGGGTGCCCAGCTGACGACAGGACGATCGTTGGGGCATCAGCCCTCCTCTACCTCGGCTCACAACCCCACATGTCTCGAGCAGCTTAGTGAAACCCTCTTGCTAACGGGAAGCTAAAGCTTCTCTCTGTGGTGTGGATGTAATCCTAGACAAGGTTCTTGAAACTCCAGGGCACGAGCAGTAGATATATTCAACAAGTGGTACAAGACTGGGCGTGATAGCCAACCGATACAGGAGCGATTACTAGGGACCCCGGACCGTAGGTAGGCCGGAGCCGATCTGAGGGAAATTAGCTAGCTAGGCAAGGAGAGTTGCTAGACATTACTAGGACAATAAATGAGGTCTTCTAATTACTCGACTAGCGCGGTACAGACCTAGTACATCGGGACATAGTAAATGGACATAGGCATTAGACATAAGCATAGACATCAGACATGCTATAATAATATGTAGTAATACGGACATGTGAATAAATGGTACAATGAATGGTAACAAGAGTCCTGGCGTCAGGCGTGTTCACATATCTTGGTATGTACATATCTATACACCTCCCTCCCCCTTTACGCTCGTAGTGCAATCTCGAGCGGCTACGGACTCTTTTTCCATGAGTCGGGGGGAGCGGCGAGGGACAATGGGAGGATCAACTGACGACCTTCGTTCCTGGTCTGGGCAAGGGGACACAGGGGACGGGGAGGAAGGTTCGTCACTAGAGGATGGCACTGGGCGGAGGTGGCGTCTGTTTCGCCACCACACACGACCACTGGGGAGGCGGACTTGGTACGAACGAGACTCGCCACAGCCCATGACGACCCCGACCTTGTCCCAGCAGTGTGATGTCGGGTCCTGGATTCGTACTTGCTGGCCGACCGCCAACCTGGGAAGGGGGCGGGCGTGGGCGTCATAGTGGTTTGTCACTTGGGCCATCCGGGCAGCCTCACGGCGGTCACACTCGTCCGCCTTGATCTGCCATTCATCTAAGAAGGACTGGGGGTGGGCAGGCACACAAGTACGAAGGGGGCGGCCATACAACACCTGGGCAGGAGAGCGTCCGGCAGGGGTAGGGGTGTTACGGAGTTCCAGTAGGCCCCTGTCGAACTCCTCGCAGTCCAGGTTCCCCGTCGGTGCTGTCTTGAGGATGAGGTATTTTACGGACTTTACCGCTGCCTCGGCGTGGCCATTCGCCTGCGGGTAATGAGGGGAGGTGACGATGTGGTGGACGCCCCAGCGTTCGGCGAAGCTCTTGAACTCGTGGCTATTGAACGGG